AGTAGAAAACAACTTTCTGGTGTTTATCTTAGGAAGAAGTAAATGAAATCTAAAATATTTAACTGTTACCTGGATTGGGAGGAGGTAAATTGCTCAAAGTGAAGACTAGAAGTTGAGTGCAGTGAGGTGTCATCACCCAGCCCTTGGTACGTAAATATGTTAGAAGCATCAAAGTAATAGGAGACTTGAGCTGGGATGTATTTCAGCAGCTCGCTGTAGGTTGTGTATCCTCTGCTGCCATCTGGCTAGCATCAAGCCCTTCCATCCTACCTTGGCAGTACAACAAGGAAGATTTCCTTGCGTCTGTTTTGTGGGTAGCTGGGCTATCACTTCATGCAATTATATGCAAACACTTGCAAATTTTGATGCTGTGCCACAGTGCAGCGACTCTTGCTGCGATGTATTTGGTTCAAAATCTGACTTTATTTTTTTTTCTCACCTGGGAACAGTCCTTTAACACATTTGTGCAGCTCTTAGTCTTGAACAATTTTCTGTCTTCAGGGTTTGACCTGCCATTGTGGAGTTTGTGTGTGTGACTTCCATTTGACTGTTAATATGGTCAGCTTAAGAAAAAGCCCTTGCTAACATAAAGGTGTCAGTACATACATTTTGCCTTTGGACCTCCTTTTCCATCTGCCCTGTGCTTGCATAATCCAAAGAAGCTGCACCAAGCCTATGCAGGGCAAGGGGAAGCGACTAAACACAGCCGTGTTTATTTGCTATCCTCTTACTATCAGATGCAAAGAAAAACTTCAAAGCGATACATAACTAAGTTAGGTGATACACCAACAATAATTAAAACGCCCCTGCAGGAAGTCATGTCATTGAAAAAACAACTGCTTCAGAAAGCAAAAACATTTTTCTGCCAAAGGCATGTGAAACTACTGTATCTGGGCCTTGACTCAAAAAAATAAAATAAAAATAAAAAAAATTGGTGCTTGCTTCAATCCAACCCTGCTCAGGGCAATTGAATTTGATTCTGAGTCTGCACTGCGTGGTGCAGAATTAAAGCTCAGACAGTCTGGGACAGTGTGGTTTTGAGACATCTCTGAACAGAGCAGGCTCAAGGAGGAAGAAAGGCTGTTGGAGGCCATCACCATGCGAGATGCCCTGCAGGGGGGCAAAGCAGAGCATTTTTATTGAATCAGATGTTAACTGCCTTCTGCCGCATGTGAAGGAAATCAGGGTGCACTATTACTCAGTAGTTTGTGGCCAGTGAAGGGGTTCTGTGATCCCTGTCTTGGCTATCTGAGCATAAAGGGCAGTAACAGTGAAGTGCTGTTAAGACACTGCTGAGTATTTACAATGTAAATCAATGATGTTCAGGTGGAAAACACAGGTGGTTGCCCATCATGAAGCATCACATTGAGGATGGTTTGTACAGAGACAAAGGCAATAGCCATGTCCCCACACTCCTCTGCACTATTACTATGTCTGTTTCAATTATGCCAACTTGTTCATGTCCTCAACCAAGAGTAAGACCCAAAGCCCAGCAAGCCAACAAAAAAATGCCAATCAGGCTCTGGATCACACTGCACTGCATTTGTCATAGCTAGAAGAAATGCTCTTTTCATAATTGTTTTTGTTATTAAAAATGGTCTTTGTCACTTGCTTTATGGCCCGTATAGCTGTAGTCCTCTGTAAATGCCATAGATGTAGTGCTCTTTTTGTTTTCTTGTTTCTAATTGTCAGGATTGGAAAGAATAAATGTTTGTGAATCAGTGTTACACAGAGTTTGGACTTAAAGTCAAGTTGCAGTCCTTATCTAAAAAGTAGCAATTGTAAAGAGAAGCAAATTGTTGAGATGTACCTGTAAGAAAAAAAAAGAAAAAGCAATCACTGCTTTTAAGCTTTAAAATGTAGATGCTTAAAAAAAAAAAAAAATTAAAAATTAAAAAAATAAAAAATTAATGCATGTCACTTTGAAGAGAGGAGTTATTCAGAGCTTGAGCAATAAGCCCCAACAATGAAGTTAAGTTACAGACAGAACCCATGTTTTATCAATCAACTGCTACTTTTAAGTTTGACAGCTTTTGTAAGCAGGAAAATGTCAATTACATAAGATATTTGAACCTGTGGAAATAACCCATGGAAACACAAAATGTCTGTTCACACATCAAAATGATCCAGACTTGAAGGAAGTTAAAAACCAGAATGCACTAAGGAATTATCTGACGGAAAAATGGAAACTTTGTTATGAATTTTCAAGAAATATTGGCTAATTAATTTCTTTGGTGAGTTTATTAGGTTATTTAGGATTGGAGAAAATGAGGTAACTTCCCTATTTTTCCTGATGTGTAACAGCTATGGAAACACTTTGAAATGAGTGTCCCATCGTTATGAATTCATTTGGTTATCCTTTTAATAACAATGATTGTACTCAGGCACTTTATATGAATGTTACATCCCATCTCTTTCAGGTGCTGCTTGGTCACTTCATCGAGCATCAGCTGGGTCTTATTAAATAGCCATTAAGGAAGGAAGAATTAACTACCTAGTAACAAAATTGAAGGGGAAAAAAGCTCTGAAAAACACATAGTCTTAGAACTGGAAAATTAGTTTTTACAGAGTAGAAACTTTTCTATTTAAGCTAACAAAAATACTGGAATTTACTGGTATTGTGTATTGATGGATGAAAAAAAAAAAAAACAAACAAAACAACCTGTCAGGATCCTAGTTTGACAAAGCCCATTCAATTTGTTGAGTCAATGTTCATTTTCTGCACTAAGACTGCCTCTGTGGGATGTAAACAAGACAAGAACTCAGTAATGAGTTTTATTAGATGCAACTGATGTAGCTGGAAAAAGTAGATAAACTTCCAGGCTTATGATCTACTCTTCAAATCTGAAGAAGTGTGTGATTTAATATAACATGTTTTGGAAAGTGTGTTAGAGCAAAATACCAACATCTAATAGAGCCAAAGTAGACTGACTATGTGCAGATCAAATAACTGGTTGCAAGTTTGCTATGAATTCAAATGCCACTTTACAATGCCTTTAATTTACATATCAAGCTGAACAAATTAGGATGACTGTATATCTGCAGTGTAGATTTTTGATGCTGTTTTACTGCACTGATGAAAATAAGCAATCTGCTGTTAAAACTTTAGACATATGAATGCAAAATTGGTGCCTGTAATTGTATAGTCAAACAAATACATTTCCAGCAATGAGGAATACAGCTTGTAGCTTATTAACATCTCTGGGAAACATTTCTTTTTTCCATGGAAAATTTAACATTGTCACTAAAGACTAAACATTTTTAGTCTAACCTGGAAAGTTTTCAGTGTGAGGCTGAAAAAAGAAAGTTTTTCAGCCAAAATCTTCCTTATGTTGTAGATTTTTTTGTTTGTTTTCTGTGAAAAGTTTCAATTAGCTAAAACAGACCTTTTTTTTTTTTTTGTCTTAAGAGCAAATCTGGTAGAAATATTTAATAGCCTAGATAAAATTCAAGTTAGGAGGAAAATAAGTTCTACAAGTTGAGGAGCCTCATCTTGCAACTGGCCCTGGCGTAAGTCATCCAGAAGACGGCATTTCTGTCTTTCGCCGCAAATTTCTCTTATTCCAAGGGAATGGTGATGCAAAGCCAAAATCTTTTGCAAACCCACTGCACATCAATGCTGCACAAGTTACTAAATGTAAAGCAACTTTAATTCCAGCCCTGTGCTTGGATTTGTCCTGCCCAGGAGGGGTGGCCATGGGGTTACTCAAGAAGTAACTCAGAAACAATCTGGGAGCCTACAGGCTAATTTACAGGAGTGAAGCAGCAGCACTGACAGCTCTTTCATTATCTCCTAATGATAAAAACAAACAAACAAAAAAACCTTTGTACTCTCCCTCTGTAACCAGGGTGAATGAGATGTGCCCATGTGTTCTATTGAAAGGGTGCAGCTCTGCTGAGCACATGGGAGGATAGCCACAGGCATGTTTTGGTGGAGGGAAGGACCCAGGTTATGTGCTTGCTGAGGTGCTCTGTTGCGTGAGCAAAGGATCCTCTGTGAAGCAAACCCCAAGAGCTCAACAAGTGTTAACTTTGTTGATGAGGTTTTCAGAATTAACTCTGGCACTGTGAACTACCCTCAGTAATTGCTCTTGTTCATGATGACACTAACTAGCCTTGGCTCCAGCCAGTGAGTGTGCTGTGAGGCTCTGGCTACCTAGAGGAGAGCCTTTTTATGTTTATGGAGTGCTGTCTCTCTCTGATAGTCATCTTAAAGCAAATTCCCATCAAGCTGCCTGACATCATTGGATATGATTACTGACACCTGTTTAGTAAATAATAAAATTACATCAGATCTTTTCAGCACCAGGTTGTTAAAAGAGCCTAGTACAGATGTAACCTCCAGTATGAATAGGAGAATTCATTAGGCATCAAGGTCTTTAAACTCATTGGGACTAAACAGCACTTTACCTCACACCATAACTGTTAGCAAGTGATTTAGTGGCAAGGGATTGATGAGGTACATTTCCCTGGAGGGCATGGTAAATAAATTTTTTTGTCCTGAAGGATTTTTGCAGAAATGTTTATGTATTCAAGTATCCAAAGTTAATTCATTTTCAGTAGTTTGACAGATTTTTTAATTTTTTTTCCAATGACCAATGAAAATCTTGTGTGAGTTCATCTCTTTTTACGGTATTATTTTGAACTTTTCCTGCATGATCTAATCTCACAGTGGAAAACTAAATAAAAGTTTATTGGTAAGCAGGAATGAATTCACTGGCTTCCTCGGCTGGCATTATAGATGAAAACAATGCTTTGACATTTTGGAACAGTACTTTTCCATGGTTTTGTAAGTCATGATGGTGATGCTTAGCAAATCATTTGCATCATTTCCCTAATTGTGCCATAGCTCTTCTTAGGAAGACCATCAGTATGATCTTAGCTAATTTTCAGATGCCTCATTTGTATTGCTAGCTATTCTAGTTATCACACAGTCTTTCTATTTCTCTTTCAAGGTTTCTTCATGGTCTCTTTGATTTTGTTTCTTCTTGTTTCTGCAGAGGCTCACGAAGATGTGAGTGATAACATGAGGCAGTCATAAGGCAAGAGTCATGTGTCTCCAGACATCTTCCAAATGGACTGAGGTAGGAGGATTTCTGTTGTTCATCTTGGGTAGTCCAAGCAAACAGCCTAACTCACTAAAAAAAAAAAAAAGACTTTTCAGTATTTGGCACTTCAGTTTATATCAGGTAATATATCATCATAAATAAACTTTCTTTTGTGGGAAAACCTGAAAACTCACTCTTTTTTAGTTAATAAAATGGAAATTTTCATAGAGAGAACTCTTGAACTTGAATCATATTTTGAAACACTCAGGTTAGGTTTGGTGCTGGTTAATTAAGCAGCACTTTACTGTGCAACTGTGTGCCCATTAAACACAAATACCACTTCAGCTGTGCTGATCTAAGGCTTCTAAATGGCAAAATGTTTATTCTGAAGCTTGATATGTGATTATTATGACTAAATTTATCACAGAATTAGAAAGATACGGATTTGAAGGGTTGACTGTTCATGTGGTTAAGGAATTGGCTGGATGGCTGCAGACTGAGGATTGTGGTCAACTAATCTATGTCCAGTTGGAGGCTTGTGATGATTGGTGTCCTTCAGGGGTCTGTCTTGGGACCTGTGCTCTTCAGTATCTTTATTAATGGCATAGACAGTGGGATTGAGTGCGTCCTCTGCAAGTTTGCTGATGAAGCCAAGCTGATTGGTGCACTTGACACAATAGAAGGAAGGAATGCCATCCAAATCGACCTGGATGTGTTCAAAAAGTGGGCCATGAGAACCTAATGAGTTTCACAAGGCCAAGTGCAGGTCGTTGCATATGATTGTGGCAATCCTAGATATGGGTACACACTGGGAGAAGAACTCATTGTGAACACCCATGCAAAGAAGGACTTGAGGGTGTGCTGGTGGATGGAAAGCCAGACATGAGCCAGCTTTGTGCATTTGTGGCCCAGAAAGCTACAAGTATCTTGGACTGACTGGATCAAAAGAGCAAGGCAAGAGATGCGATTTTTTCCCCCTCTGTTCTGCCTTCTGGAGTCCTTAGGTCATATTTCCAGGTCAGTTTTTCTACCTGTGCCAAACTAATACATAAATTCCATGTTAGAGAAATAGTCTCCTAGACTAGGCCTGATGCAATACATTCTTGTTGCATGGTTCTAACAAAATGAAAGAAAACTGCAATCCCATCTGGCCAATGTGCACTGAAGCTTCTCAGTCTCTATTTGCTCACTGAAACAAGAATGTTTCTGCATTATGTAAATGTCCTTCTTTGTTATGGGTTTGTTGTTTTTTTTTTTTTGTTTTTATTTTTTAAGAATTTTGCATGCAAACCTCAGAAGGTATATTGTGTTTTTACAGGTGAGAAGTTTGTGTTTTAGCAACTTCATACACATGTGGGAAGTTGCCCACTTCCTATAACAGAACAGCTCTTCCCAGCAACACTGTCTCTGATGTTGCTGCCAGATAGATATCTCCATGTGTACCACCTCAGCCTTTCTTAGCAGATGTAGGATGCTGCTGTTGTAGCTCTTTCTGGCTTCAGTGCAGGTGTAGAGGTAGTGCTGGAGGAAAGGTATTTCACAAGGGCTTTGATCTCCCCCAACAGTCTGTGTAGTAGGAATCTCATACTTTGAAATTTGTGATCAACTGTTCATTTCCACTGAAAGTTGCACTTTCAATAGTCAGAATCTCAAATTTACTGAGATGTTCAAATCACTTTGTGATGACTAAGCCCCCTCTGAAAGTGGGATTTAGACTTTTTAAGTCATGTAAGCGTTTCTGCAAATCACATGTTGGTTCATGAAGTAATGGGTGCTGATGCTTTCTTTGGCAGTCACGCTGATGTTCAGAAAGCTTCAGCCAGTTGTTTTCCAATCCCTCCTAATATTTTGAGTCAACGGTCATGTCTGTCAAACCTTTCCTATAGCACTTGCAAGCCTGAAATACTTTTTACAATGTTAATGAGGATGGGAGAGGACTTTTCCTGTTCTGGGAACAGTCTTAGCACAATAGTTTTCTTGTGTCCATTTAAGATCTGTTCTGCCGACAGGGTGGAAAAAAAAAAAAAAGGCCCCAGCAAAAATAGTTGTTTGATTTTACTGTTTTCTGTACATGCATCCCAGTGGCAAATGAACTTTTATTTGGAGAGAAGTCCTGGTGAAAGAAGAAAGCGAGAAAAGCACCAGGATAATATAGAGGCTGTGAGGGAGACATTCTTTCTTCCATGAGGCCTATCTAAATCCCTGTTTGAAACACAGCATATCATGTTTTAATCCCCAAAGATTTCCTTCTGCGTGCTATTTGCTCAGTCTATTTGTTTCCCACCCACAAGAAGACAGAAAAAGAACATGGGGTCCTGCTCTTATGCATGGTGTCTTTTCCCAGGCGTTAGGAGATTTTTGACTGTGACAAACTTCCCACTCAGTTAACACCTCCTTATCTGAAGTCCAAGCGTTTGCATACACAGACTAAGCTGGAGCGTGACTGCAAAGCGCAGTAATGCCCAGAGTGGATGCTCTTGCTCAGCTCTCTCCTAGGGATTATTTAATGTCTTGTTTCCCAAGTGCATTAAGCTGGGCTTGGTAAATGCACTATCAGTATCCACCCATGCAGACATTGATAAGTATATATTCAAAGACAGCTGGCCTTAATTTCTTTGCAAAGTTAGACAAGCTGTAGAGCAAAGATGTTTGAAAGTGTCCGAGAGGCTTAGCAACACATATGCCATCTGACTCTTCACAGGATTTGTGGTCCTCTGAAGATCATTTCTAAAGACAGCCAGAGTTGACAGAGTGTTTGCAAATATTAATGCCAGTTTTGAACAGCTGTTTTAGTCAGCCTAACTTTGTTCCCCTCTTTCTTGCCTGTGAGGATGTTTCTGGTTTACATGGATGTCTGTGGAATTCACACCAAAAGCCGTGCATTCGCACCAGCACCTGTGCTGTCATGGGCCAGCTGAGAATCAACAGCTCTTAATGATCAGCGAAGCCGAGCAGCTTATTAACATCTCATAAACTGTAACAGATAATATCTGACAACTATGACTAAAATAAAATTTATTTTCTTACTTTTCTAGGACTTACAAAAAAAAATTAGAAACACAAATGAAGTGTTAAAAATTCTTGGTTATACCCCACTCCACTTGCGTTTTTTTTTTTTAAAAGCAGCTCTCCTAACTCTAATTCCCTAGACTTGTAGTATCAAGTACATGTGTTAATGTTTGTTTTCACTCTGAAGAGGAAAAAAAATTGATTTCCTGTTGCAGCTATATCATAATAATGCAATTACAATATATTCGGATTTGCATAGAATTGCAATCAGTCCAAAGAAATGAAAATCAAGCTTCTTAGATTTGCTCTTCATAGGCATCATTTTGGAAACCTAGGTCCCAACCACAATGCAGCGGAGCTATCATCACTTTGCTGTCTATGTTCCTGCAGAAAGCAATGACCCTGGCTTAGGATGTATCCACAATTTTTCTGCATAGCACCCGATGCAGTGTGGCTGTTGTCTTTGGGATATTTGTCTTAACAGTATCTATTGCTCACAATTTTCCTCTTGGTTTCAAGATTGGCTGTAGGCCAGATGGAGCTGCAAATCACAAAGGCAATAAATTTTGAGATATTTGTTTGTAGGGGAAGAAAAATCTGTAAAGAGACAGCTGAGAAGCAATATGGCATTGTGTCATCCAGAATACCTGGAACCAACTGTACTGGTTGTATGTGGCAAGAGTGGAACCATGGAAAAGCAGAGAAAGAGCTTTTGTGTACTTCCTGGGGCTCTACATCTGCCATATTTCTTCAGTAATCAGTCTATAACTGAACCTGGTTTAATACAGCAGAGCTTGATCGTGCTCATTTTTATGCTGTCATAAACAAGTTTCGATCATTGCTGGTTGCAGCCGCAGTCAAGCATTTGCTCAGCTATTGGCTTTGCTGCCTCTTTGTTCTTTTTATATAACACCGCTGAGGTTCAGTGCTCACATGGGTTATACCAGGTCAGCTTTTAATTTCTTTCTTTTTTCATTCTTTCTCTTTCTTTCTCTCAATTTTTTTAATCAAAAAGATTTTTATTGGTGCTCTGGAAAAACAAACACAACACCACTGCTGTGAGTTTTGTAACTGAACCAATAAAAAATGAAATTCACTGATGGTTTCTTTAATAGCAACAAGCAAGCCCAGTTTCTAAATGGATTTTATATTGTGCTGCTGCATATTTAAAAATAAAAAATAAAAAAAATAGTGCAATAACCCAGTACTGAGGGGGCTGCGTGGGAGAGGGCACCCCCAGACCTCTTCTTCCTCATCCACAGGGCCTCAGGAGGGGTTTGGTGCTAAATACAATGAGGAGTGGAAGTTGGTGAGCCCAGGTGCCCTAAGCCTGCTCTGAAGTACACAACTGACTCCATTTGGTGTCACTTTTAGTGGTTGTTTTTCGAATGCTCCACTTGCATGTGCCCAAGGTATTGCTTTCAGAGCCTCAGCAATTTTTATAAAAAAAACATTTTAAACCCTTCAATTTAATGAAATGGTCCTAAAGAAAACATTTAGAGCAAGGTTTTCAAAGTCATTTAGGAACCTCTGGCTGGAGAAAATGCCAGCTTGGACTCTTGAAAGTATTGTAGCTTTTTATGTTCCCTGTCATTTCTTTTGGAGGCTTGTCCCAGAGCCTGGTAAGAACAAGGGGTAAGCTTACTTCAGGGGGAGAATCGCTCAAGACCAACCCAAAACAACACTGTCACCTGATAGCAGCTCCTCTTTCCACCCTGAGGATGCCCATGGGGTGCCAGGGCCATCCTATGGAAAAGGTGGCTCAGCCTCCTACCAAGCACTGCAGTGCAGACCAGAGCACGACAGTGAGTTCCTGGACATGTGTTGTCTGGCTCCAAAACAGAGAATTTTGTAGCTTTTCAAAGCCAACCTAAGGTCTTGCTCCACAAAGTGCTATGAAAGTTGCAGAAAGCACTGACTGGCTGCTGGCAGGGTTGGTTTATAGGAAAATAACCAAGGATAAGCACAACTGTAAAGTCCATCTGTTTCTGTGGTCTGGAGCTTGACAGGGTCACCTCAGAGACCAT